CCACAACACATCCAGCCCACAACCACAACACATCCAGCCCACAACCACAACACATCCAGCCCACAACCACAACACTACCACCACATCCAGCCCACAACCACAACACTACCACAACGCAACACATCCAGCCCACAACCACAACACTACCACAACCACAACACATCCAGCCCACAACCACAACACTACCACAACCACAACACATCCAGCCCACAACCACAACACTACCACAACCACAACACATCCAGCCCACAACCACACAGCCCCTAAACACAACCACAACCGCCACAACACAACCAGCCCACAACCACAACCAGCTCACAACGTTACAACCCCCCCCATTCATTGTACAGTATAATATGCTGAGCTATAACAATGCAACTTTTTTTTTATCGAGTTGCTACCTATCCGGCCCTCTCTATCTACTCTTCTAATACCTCCCTCCCTCTCCCACTTCTCTCACCTCATCTTCCCCATCTCACCAAACACAGGTAGAATAAGCGGTCAACAGATTGATGATCCTGAATACCAAGCATTTATTTCTCCAATAAATATAAAGTTTTTATTGGTCTTTTGTCCTGAATCAGTGGGAGGTCGGGAGGTGCTGTGTGGGGGAGGTGCTGTGGGGAGGTGCTGGTGGGGAGGCTGTGTGGGGGAGGTGCTGTGGTGGGGAGGTGTGGGGAGGTGGGGAGGTGCTGTGGGGAGGTGGGCGCTAAGCTTTGTAGAGGGTCGGAGAGAGGAGGAGAGGTACTGTATTGGAGGTGAGGGATGGATAGGAGGAGGTGAGGGATGGATAGGAGGAGTACAGTCGGAGGTGGCAGGTGGGGGAATAGGGAAGAGGAGAGGGAAGTGGAGACAGGGAGGAGGGGGCGGAAGAAGAGAAGGAGGAACAATAGGAAGAAATGATAGAGGAAGAAGAATAAGAATAAGAATAGGGAGAAGGAGGAGAGGGGGAAAAAAGAATAGGAAGAAGAGGAGGAGAAGGGACGCGAGAATCAATACTGTGAGGGGAAGATAAGGAGTGGTTGACAGCGTCGCTCTGAGAACCTTTCGACTCCCTGTGAAGGATGAAGAGATGAGAGGATTGTCATGTGAGGAGGGCTGTATAGGGTTTATATAGAGTATAATCCCTCCCAACCTACCCACCACCCACACACACGTCTTAACCTCCGCCATCTTATCATAAACACAATTAAAATTCTATTAATTGTAATCAATCCTTCAAGAATTAATTATCACTGATTTGTGGGGGATATGTGTTTGTATGTGTCTGTTGTGTATGGTGTGTTTGGTGTAGTGTTTGTGTATAATTAGGCACCTGGATGTTAATCGATTTGCATCGTGTTTCGGGTAATAGTTAGCCAGCAGTTGGCGAGTTGTCCGTCTTCTTGGATTATTCCTTGACATCACCGTTGCTTCGTTAACTCAGGTGGTTGTTGTTGGCGACAGCTTCTACACCTTAAACACTGGGTCATGCAGCTCACTCAGGTGGTTGTTTGGCGTTTCTAGCACCAAACACTGGGTCATGCAGCTCGAGGCGGTTGTGTTACACAGCTTCTACACCTTAAACATCATGCAGCTCGTTAACTCAGGTGGTTGTTGTTGGCGACAGCCTACACCTAAACACTGGGTCATGCAGCTCGTTAACTTAGGGTGTGGTTGTGTTGGCGACAGCTTCTACACCTTTAAACACTGTCATGCAGCTCGTTAACTTAGGGTGTAGTTGGCTATGGACAGCCACACCTAAACATCATCGCAGCTCGTTAACTTAGGGCGTGGTTGTTGTGTTGGCGAGCAGTCACACCTTAAACACTGGGTCATGCAGCTCGTTAACTAGGACGTGGTTGTTGTGTTGGCGACAGTCTGCACCTTCAACACTATGCTGCAGCTCGTTAACTCAGGTGGTTGTTGTGTTACAGTTCAACCTTAAACAAATTTACGCCTAGGTCTCTTGGGTTGGCCATCCTCGTTACACGAACAACCGTTATTATTATTATTATTATTATTGTGTGTGTGTGTGTGTGTGTGTGTGTGTGTGTGTGTGTGTCTCGTCCTTACCCTAACCAGTTTATTAAAGACATACGGGACACACTGAGACCAAAACCCCCATCTTCCATAGGCCTATACCTGCTGAGAAATCGTACCATCTTCACTAGGCCTATACCCCTTGATAAAATAACAATTACGTTCTAGATAAATAATGGAAATAAAGATTGCATCGTAAAATATAACGTAAAGATGAATACAAATTGATTCGTGAAAAGGTTGAAATAGAAATTGTATCGTAAATATTGAAAATGTATTGTAAAATTAAATGTAAAAGTAAAAGTTGTATCGTAAAGTAAAATGTAAAAACGATAAATGAAATGAATGTATCGTAAAATATAATGTAAAAAAAGAGAAATTGTATCGTAAAAAAAAAATATAAATAAAATTAAATCGTAAAAAAGTTGAAATATAAATTTTATGGTAAAAAAATAAAAAAAATCGTATCGTAAAATAAAATATCAAACAATTTAAATTATCTCATTATTTTGGTTCAGATATTGAAATAAATTAACCAGATAGTCCCCAAGTCTTTTGTCACGGGGTTCAGGGCCAAATTATAAAGGTTCTATTGTAGAGACCTCGAGAAGAAGAACTGAAAATTGAAAGGAAAATTTATTCATGAAAAAGAGAAATGGGATCACAGTTTTTGAATCGTGTGATCTTGTGAAGTCTTAAGCATACAAGATAGATGTGGTGGTGGTAGTGTGTGGTGGTGTGTGGTGGTGGTGGTGTGTGGTAGTGGTGGTGATAGTGTTTGGTAGTGGTGGTGATAGTGTGTGGTGGTGGTGGTGTGTGGTGGTGTGTGTGTGGTAGTGGTGTGGTGTGTGTGTGGTGGTGGTGGTGTGTGTGTGTATGTGGTGGTGGTGTGGGTGTGTGGTGGTGTGTGGTGGTGGTAGTGTGTGGTGGTGGGTGGTAGTGTGTGTGTAGTGATGGTAGTGGGTGTGGCGTGGTGGTAGATGTGGTGGTGGATGTGGTGGTGGTGGTGGTAGAGGCCCAGTGCAGAAAATGAAGGAAGAAATTAACAAATTATAACGAACTGTAAAAATAATTTATAGGAAAAATAAAATAAAATTTCTGAACTCGTTAAAATAGTTTTTTTAATAGTTACAAAAGCACATTGTTTATACACACACACACACACACACACACACACACACACACACACACACACACACACACACACACACACACACACACACACACACACACACACACACACACACATCCCCCCACACACACACACACACACACACACACACACCACACCCACACACACACACATACACACACACACACACACACACACACACACACACACACACACACACACACGATAATAAATGTTAAGGTAAACATTAAATTGTTAGTTATTTTATTTTTATTTTATTTATTTTATTTTTTTTACGTTTTTATTTTCCAATTAGCGAGGCATTTCTTTTAGTACTTGTTTATAATGTGGCGCTAATTACCTAACCTAACCAAATACTTTCTTTTTCCACTTTAACCTCTACCTCCACCTTCCCTTGTCTTCCTCACACCTCCTCCTCCTCCTCCTCCTCCTCCTCCTCCTCCTCCTCCTCCTCTTCCTCTTCTTCTTCCCTCCTCCTCTTCTCCTTCCTCCTCCTCTTCTCCTTCCTCCTACTCTTCCTCCTCCTCCTCTTCCTCCTCCTCCTCCCTATTCCTCTTCTTCTTCCTCCTCCTCCTCTTCCTCCTCCTTCTCTTCCTCCTCCTCCTCCTCTTCTCCTCCCTCCTAACACTAGAGAGGTGCCAGTGACATATGATCATAGGCCTATACTCCCCAGCCATCGGTACATAGATCAAGAGGCCTATATTTTCTCCCTCCTTTCCCTCCCCTCCCCGTCTCTCCCTCCTTCTCCTTCCTCCGTCTCTTCTCCTTCTCTCCCTCTCCTTCTCCACCTCCCCCACGACACATTACTGTGCTAACACCACTCATTGCCTCTGATCCTTTCTTTCTTTCTTTCTTTTCTTTTCTCTCTCTCTCTCTGCTTCTCAGTAGTTAACATCGACCCACTCAAATCCTCTTTGGTCTAGTCTCCATTAATTAAATTTGGTCTTGATCACCCCCTGCACGCAAACACACTCCATGCACGCAAATGCCCTCCACGCACTCAATCTGCACGTAAATTGGCTCTGGATGTCTTCACTTTACATGCAAAACGCTTCTTCCTCTCAATCTATCTGCACGCAATCGCTCTCTCTCTCTCTCTCTCTCTCTCTCTCTCTCTCTCTCTCTCTCTTTTAACCCATATATATTTTTCTTCCTGGGATTTTATAACAAGTGATTTTGCAATTCAGATTTCCGAATTTTGAGTCGTGCAATGCAAACACGGGGGCCGGCCTTAAAGTCAACATTGCAATTTCCCGAGTTGCAAACGGGGGGAGACCACGGGAATGTTGCAACCCTCAGTGATCATTGCAAATTCGTAGAGCTGTAGTTTGTTGATACAGCCATTGAACTGCAAATAATTACAGTGGAAATTGAGGGATCGTGTGTTGTAAGTCTTTTTAGAAACGGCGATTAAATTCAGAATTCTAAATTGTTTTAGTGTAAATTTAGAATGTTTTTTTTTGTTTGTTTGTTTGTTTGGTGAGTGTGTTGCTGTTTTTGAATGGTTTATTGGAAGGTAGTCTTTAATTTGGTGTGTGTGTGTGTGTGTGTGTGTGTGTGTGTGTGTGTGTGTGTGTGTGTGTGTGTTTGTGTGTGTGTGTGTGTGTGTTTTGAATGTTAAATTATGTGTGTGTTTGTATGACTGCATGGTATGAGTGTATATGTGTGTGTGTGTTTGTATGTGGATGTATGAGCGTGCTGTATGTATGTATGTATGTATGTATGTATGTATGTATGTATGTATGTATGTATGGACTATACAAACAAACTTATTTACGTGTTATTGTTTGGAAAATCACAAGTTTAATTCCCTCTTTGGTTTCAGCAAGGGAACTCTGGTGACACTCTTCACCACTACCACCACTACCACCACTACCACCACTACCACCACTACCACCAGCACTACCACCACCACCACCAGCACCACCACTACCACCAGCACTACCACCAGCACTACACCACCAGCACCACAAATCCCTGCACCATAACCTGGACTTAAGGGTGAGTGATTTTAATTGATTTGGTAAGTTCTGGCGGAAATGTACTTGACCGGATAACTTTTTTTTTTTAACTTGGCCGGATAAATAATTTTTTGAGGATATTTACCTACCTGGCAACCGGTCATTAGTAATCTGCACAGCTTGGTTTTATTATTATTATTATTATTATTATTATTATTATTATTATTATTATTATTATTATTATTATTATTATTATTATTCTCTCTACGTTATATATTATTACAGTACGTTTGTCTCTCTGTTTTTATCCTCTTCCATAACAATACAATTCTGAGGGTCAAATTACTTTCTGCTAAAAATAATAATAATAATAAAAACAGTAATTATCTACTTATTAGTGTAGTTCCGGTGTTTGTTGTGGTAATGGGGGGGGTTGTCAAACTGTTTCGGGTTTGTTGTAACTTTATTTGCATTATTTTTTGTCACGCGGTACAAAGAAATTCACCAACCCTTTGTATTGTTTAACACACACGGTACACGGGTCTTGTAACACTTAACACACACGGTACATGGGTCTTGTAACACTTAACACACACGGTACACGGGTCTTGTAACACTTAACACACACGGTGCACGGTCTATCTAACACAACACACACGGTACACGGTCTAACACAACACACGGTACACCATTATTATTTTAACACCTTTCCGTCGTGTTAATTAAGGGAATTTGCTAATTTGCCATGTCCATGTTGAGGATTAGATTCAAAAGGCGGGTTTAATTTAGTTTTTTGCGATCACTTGAGGAATCTCCATAGCTTATTTCACCTGAAGATTTACCACCCTGTCGCTAATCTAACCCAACCTAACCTAATGCAAATGTAACCTCACCTCACCTCACCTCACCTCACCTCACCTCACCCCGTCCCCTCCAAATAGCATCAGGGGGTTTAATCCTGAGGCGAAATAAGCTCGGGGTGTCTAATCTATTCGTGCTCCATAGTGACGTTATATTCTTTAGGCGTTTATGTAGTAGCAGTAGTGTGTGTGTGTGTGTGTGTGTTTTAGTCATGCGTGTTCGTGTCAGCCATGTGTGTTGTCCAGCCATGTGTGTTGTCAAGCCATGTGTGTTGTTCAGCCATGTATGTTAGTTTTTGGTGGACGTGTAAAATTAAACCAAATATTTTTTGTTTTCAAGTTTTTATCGCTAATGATATAATGTCTGTGAAATTATTTAATGAAGCTAGTTTTTTTTTCGTGCTGTTGGGATTTTTAACTTTTTTTTTTACTTTATTCCATCAAGCATCCATGAATGTGAGATTAGTTCCGCTTGTCTTTTGTTTTCCCCTAAAGTTGGGTTCACTTTTTCTGGTGATGAAAGTACAGTAATGTCGGACACTTCTAGGTTGATCGCCATGATTCATTATAACTACCTATTATTCACTAAGTTTTATAATATTTTCTTATTATTTGTAAGTGTATAATGATTTAAGGTGTGGTGGCTTAAGTGGTTTGAATTTGTTTACCTAGCTGTGAATGGGTACCGGTAACTTCCTTTGCAGTTGAGTGTATTAAGATGTCTAGTGCAGTGTCTTTGCCGTGTACTATAAGCTAATTAATCAGTGTTTTATATCTTCTTCATTTACATAGATGTATTATTACGTGACTTTCAAAATACAATAATTTTAAGTTAGAATCCTGAATTTATCGTAAGTTCTGTGTCATAATTCTGTCATGTGGAAAAAAACTTAAGTTCTGACTCATTAAGTGTTATTGCTGTTTTTGTCGTAAGTTGAGAGTATAATAATTATTTCACGTATTATTTATTTTTGTGTCGACTCTAAGTAATTAAATGTTTTTATCGGTGAATATATTTATCACAAGTAAATTTAATATTAATTTTATAAGATTTAATGATGAGGAATAATAATTAAAAATTTGCTTGTATTTTATCGTGGTTTTAATTAAACGTATTTTCAAAGCATCTTAAAAGTTGTGTGTAAATAGTCGAAAATCGACAGTTTATTCCATGTTAAGGTACAGTCTCGTTCAAGATTCTTCGAACACTGCAAGAGACAGCAGGTAACTCAAGGCAGTCTGTTTACTATATAGCACGTAGTAAAAATTATGAATACATGTAAAAGTGATCGGTGATTGGCTACTTAATTCCCCGTTACTTAATTTAATGGTTGGGCTTTGTTGTTTTGTATTATACTATACTACGTACTATAGTAAACAGACGGCCCTGAGTTGACAACTGTCTTCAGCAGTATTCGAAGAATCTTGAACAAGACTGTAACTTGTATTATTATAGTCAAGAGTAAATGCATTTTTAAAGAAATAAATTATTAATACCGTAAGAAATTTTTCTATCGGAGGCGCTGTTAAATAATATCACAATAAATTACAGTTTAGCTGTAATATAAAACTTATATTTTTTTTACATTTTTATCTACAATTTTAATCTCACGTAATTATATTTTCATCGTAAACTGGGACCTTCAACCACCATGAAATTGTTTAATGATGCAACGAGGTTCACTTCCTTCTCTGGCCGCTGAATGCACAGTGATTCACTCACCCAGACACCCACCCACCCAGCCGCCCAATACTTCTTCATTACTCTTAGCTGGGTGGAAAACCATCTCATCCGGGTGTTTCATGCTGTTTACTGTGTTGTTTTATTGTCCATAATGTGTTGGTGTCTTCTGAGCCTGGGTTGGGTGCGTTAGTTTGTGTTCTTAACCTAACAGGTAACCTATACGTATCTAATTCTGGTAGTTCTATTATTATTATTATTATTATTATTTTTATTATTATTTTACTTCTTTGTTCGACTGAAATAACTCGCCAATTGCCCGTCCAGATCCAATGCGATTTCGGCAAAATTGTGTTGTCTTGGTAAGGAGGAAGAAAGCATCTGGTTACGGCAAGAGTTTCATTGCAGTTCCCACAGAGTTTTGACCTGGAGTAAGGGACCATATCCATTCACAGTAGAATTCTTATGCAATTTTGACACAGAATTTTTTGCGTCCATCTTTTTTTTTTAATTGTGGATACTGTTTTTAATCTTTAGTCAAGAGAGAAGTTGAGCGTTTGAACCTTTGTGGTAATGAACCCTGAGAGAATGTGTACCTACGAACCTTTGTGGTAATGAACCCTGAGAGAATGTGTACCTACGAACCTTTGTGGTAATGAACACTGAGAGAATGTGTACCTACGAACCTTTGTGGTAATGAACCCTGAGAGAATGTGTACCTACGAACCTTTGTGGTAATGAACACTGAGAGAATGTGTACCTACGAACCTTTGTGATAATGAACCCTGAGAGAATGTGTACCTACGAACCTTTGTGGTAATGAACACTGAGAGAATGTGTACCTACGAACCCTTGTGATAATGAACCCTGAGAGAATGTGTACCTACGAACCTTTGTGATAATGAACCCTGAGAGAATGTGTACCTACGAACCTTTGTGGTAATGAACACTGAGAGAATGTGTACCTACGAACCTTTGTGGTAATGAACCCTGAGAGAATGTGTACCTACGAACCTTTGTGGTAATGAACACTGAGAGAATGTGTACCTACGAACCTTTGTAATAATGAACCCTGAGAGAATGTGTACCTACGAACCTTTGTGATAATGAACCCTGAGAGAATGTGTACCTACGAACCTTTGTGATAATGAACCCTGAGAGAATGTGTACCTACGAACCTTTGTGATAATGAACCCTGAGAGAATGTGTACCTACGAACCTTTGTAATAATGAACACTGAGAGAATGTGTACCTACGAACCTTTGTGATAATGAACCCTGAGAGGAGTGTGTACCTACAGACCTTTGTAATAATGAACCTGAGAGAGATGTGTACCTACACGAACCTTTGTGATAATGAACCCTGAGAGAATGTGTACCTACGAACCTTTGTGGTAGACACTGAGAGAATGTGCCTACAGAACCTTTGTGGTAATGAACCCTGAGAGATGTGTGCCACACAGACCTTTGGTAATAGACACTGAGAGAATGTGTACCTACAGAACCTTGTAATAATGAACCCTGAGAGAGAGAGAGAGAATGTGTGCCTGCAGACCTTTGTGATAATGAACCCTGAGAGATGTGTGCCTGCAGACGCTTTGTGATAATGAACCCTGGAGAATGTGTACAAGACGCTGTGATAATGAACCCTGAGAGAATGTGTACCTACGAACCTTTGTAATAATGGACTTCCTGAAGAAGAATGTGTACCTACAGACATACTGTAATAATGAACCCTAAGAGAATGTGTACCTACGAACCTTTGTGGTAATGAACACTGAGAGAATGTGTACACAGACGCTGTGTGTGACCCTGAGAGAATGTGTACCTACGAACCTTTGTGGTAATGAACACTGAGAGAATGTGTACCTACGAACCTTTGTGGTAATGAACCCTGAGAGAATGTGTACCTACGAACCTTTGTGGTAATGAACACTGAGAGAATGTGTACCTACGAACCTTTGTAATAATGAACCCTGAGAGAATGTGTACCTACGAACCTTTGTGATAATGAACCCTGAGAGAATGTGTACCTACGAACCTTTGTGATAATGAACCCTGAGAGAATGTGTACCTACGAACCTTTGTGATAATGAACCCTGAGAGAATGTGTACCTACGAACCTTTGTAATAATGAACACTGAGAGAATGTGTACCTACGAACCTTTGTGATAATGAACCCTAAGTACAAGAGGGAAGATAATTGCTTTGTTTCAGTCAAGTGAAATCGGAATCGGAGAGGCTTGGTGAACGCGTGCCGATTGCCAAGTTTTCACGGCTGTTAAACCCTGGCAAATACAAACAAAACACAGGTATATATTACAGGTTAATTGCTGATACAGAGTAAACCCCTAGTGCCACTTGGGAGATCAGTATAAACGTGAGAAGTGGGTAAAAATGTTTCTGACTACGAGTGTGAACAAAACAGTACTGACTATCGTACACGGCTTTGAAAGTACGTATTTAGGAAGGTCTAATGAACATTTATGTAATCTGGATA